TTAAACAAAGCCTGCTCAACTTTAGGCCGATCCGCTTTTCTGGATACGATAAACTTAGAAACATTAATTTTACAAGTATATCTGTCGCAATCCGACACTTGTCATTTAGAGGGCGCGTAAGAAGAAAAGCGCAAGTACACTTTTTAAAAAAACAACGGAAATACTTTGGCTAGTTCCTTTGGCTAAGAGTGTCACGACAATCTGTTTCTCAAAAACAGACAATGATCTTACGGAAAGTATTTTTCACTCTCATCGCGATTAATTAATGTACGGAGATTGACCTCTGTTCAGTAAGTAAATGGCAAGGACAGTAATTACAAGTAAATACCTTTTTTTTTTCTATTTTGTGGTTGTGAGAGTTTGCTCGTTAGTCTACTGCAATGGCGTGTGTAAATCTGGTATTTCCTCCAAAAAAACTAAATTGAAATGAGGCACTTCAACTAGAATTTATTTCATTCGTGTTTTTGGACCGTTGCTTCAGTGTATTCGTCAAAGATCTTTCATGTAATAGTCTAATGTGTTATTGTGGACTTCATCATCCATGTATAGAGCTTGGTATTATTAGCGAAATAATCTCGTCTGAATTTTCCGAGAGTAATGTTTTCGGAGTTTAATAGGATTTCCCCCCCTGAGAAAAGCCGTAACAACAGACGTGAGAATTATTGTAATTTTCACGAGTGCTTGATATCGCTAATCAGTTGCTTACTCGTCACTCGCCTTTCGCGAATTTTTTCGGATTATGGCTGCTAAACACTGAAACATCTTACAGACAGTGATGTTCAGAATTTTCTGGAAAGGGAGGAAAAACCAAAATACGGAAAGAAAAACTGAGAGTCTCTTATTCAGTGGCTTTGATAATGGCACTTCTAACGGCTATGAGCGAAAATCGACAACTAAAGATTTGCCACAGGCCGACTTTGGCCGTGTACCTGAAAAATTTCTTCTGACGGTGAGGACCAAGTCAGTAAATGAGAATTTTGCGTATTTAAAAAGATAACTCCCATTGTATGTTTTTGTAGTGTTTCAAAGCATTTTTTCATCTTGAGCCTTAGCCAACGCACTTTACGAGTTTTATTCAGAGATTGTTGATCCTTCATTTTGATTCATTAATAAATAAATAGTTTACTTTTCTTGTCAGAAAAGGCTATTGCGTTAATATGATATGCGCCCTGGGATTAAATCGAAACATTACGTTAGCCCTAAAACTCCTATGAGTGACCAAAGCAGAATTTCTCTTCATATCATCAATGCAGCGGCATTTTGGGCAGTATTGATGCACGGCCGCTATGTTTTCGCCCCAAAAAATTATAGATACATTAAAAATTTTCTAAAGAGGCAAAGATAATAAGTCGCCTTGCGTCATATTAAAACATAGCACCCCAGAGATAATCAGCACGTTGCGGGTTACACCGAAATATTACGATAAGTTAATCAATTTGTAAACATTACAGTGGCTTGCCAGAATTGATACCCCCCCTAAATGCCGCTGAAAGACGGGTCTGTTTCAAAAAGCTCGATCATTTTGGCTGTGGTAGCCTTTGGGACATCTGGTTTCTTTCCACCCCCAGTCTTTTTTCTCGCAGTGGCAAATTTTCTGTGTCCTTTCTTTGCTCTAAACGCCTTCCTCTCCACTTTTCTTTCACCTCTTTGGCAGTCTTTTTGGCGTATACGTCATGCGTCTTCGTAGAAAATATTTTCATTTTTTTATAAGTCAGTGCTTGAGGGAACTTTCATTTTTATTCAACACAGCACTGTATAATTTAATAAAAAGTGCTAAAAGGAATCTGAAAAATCTCGGACTCTTTCAAGGCTAAACAAAAAAATGTTTATACTGACAAAGCTCTGAAGGAAATTGTAGAAAAAGGAGATAAAACTGATTTACTAGAGCTGATTTCCTAACTGAAAAATAAATTGTTATCCGCCAATCACAGGGGAAAACTAAGATTACGTTTTAGATGTTAATAACTGATACAAAAGTGAGAGAAACTCATTTTTTGGGTCAGCAGTAAACATAGAAAAGAGTATTGAGGGTGGAAGCGTCAGATAAAAAACAGAAGTACATTCGTGCTTGAGTTTGCGTGGGTTTGGTTTTGACAGTCTTGTCATAGCTCGACTTGGGCGAAATACCTGTTTACAAGTATACACTTATCATATCGCGATTTGAAAACAATATATGGGAGACTGTTGTTTAATGAAATGGAGAATAATAATAATAATAATATTAACCTTTAATGAGGATACCAACGTCACGAAGTGGTTTACAGAAGGGTCCTCAGAAGAAAACTAAGTTTAGATTAAGAACTAGTCAAATATATAAAAATGCAAAAGCTTAAAAGAGTATATACAATCATCAAGCATCAAATATAACTTGTTAAAAATACTGGAACGTAAAAGATAAAAAGAATATATAAAGGGTAAAAAGCAAAGAATGTCGTTAATAATCAAAGATAGCTTTGGACAGGCCACGTTTAAAAGCAGGCAGTGACTCTGCATTCCTTAATGAGGTGTCTAACCCGTTCCGTATATTAGCGCTAAACTTTTCTGACGACCAATGACCCCATCTTCTTGTGCCACTGGATTTTCGAATGTCATTTCTCGATCCTGTGTAGTAACTATGAAAATCACCATTGAATGTGACAGGGATAGAGTGGCAGAAATGGTTGTTAATCAATTTGTACATAAAAATAGCATGATGTTCCTTTCTATGTCATAATAATGGCTTCCAGCCAAGTCTCTTTAGCACCTCAGCTGCAAAAAAAATGCGTAGGAAGATCTAAAATGAGGCAACTGGCCTTATTCTGTAACACTAGTAGCTCAAACATTAAGGAGGCATTTCCGCGATCTCCTCAATGATATCCCCATAGTCAAAAAGAAAAGTATGTTTTACGATATATTTAAGTATGCTTGCTTGTTAAAAAAAAAAAAGAAGGTTGCTTTTTATTTTCTTTGTTCAATTGCCAATTTGGTACTCTGCTTGGTCGGAGATGTAGTGCCTACCGCACTTAAGATATCGCAATGTATTCAGACACACTATACCATTTCAGATTTACTATCGATGCAGCCATTTTTGGGTAAACAAAGCCCAAATTAGGGTTTTGTTAGCTGAAAATAGAGTTCAATAAAATTATTACACAACAGGGATTATGCTTTTTCTACACACAAGCGCTCAGGATCCAACATTGAAATAAACCTAAAATGCATCAAGAAGGAAACTGGAATTTTGAAAATGGAGTAAATACTCTTCGTATAAAACGAATCACACACCAAATAAAAGACAACAATAACAACAAAAACCAAGAAACACAGTACAAAACACAATAAAGATAATAATATATTAAATTAGATCTATACCCATAGCAACTATCAAACCTGACGACCGATCAGCTTTTGATGTCTTCTGCGACTAAACAACGGCCGGTGCAGGATGGACGGTATTCCAGAAAAGAATCGACGGTTCCTTTGACTTCAACCGCCACCGGAGCGATTATAAGCATGGCTTATACAAATGCAATCGAATAAACGTTCACTAAGCTGGTTTGGGATGCTATTTAACTTCAAAGATAATTAGTGTTTGAGCAGTTTGTTTCTGCTTTTAAACTTGTTCCCAAGGTGCCAAGGTGTTATCGGCTGATAAGATAAATGAGGTGTATCTTTTTTTGATTTTGATTTTTACATTCAGCTTCTGAGAAGTACTTCCATGGTTCCAGGTACATTTTCTATGAGAACAATGGTACCCAATACAATTGGGATGGAAGCAAAAAAATCTGTAATGAACAGTCTGGATATAACCTTGTTTCTATTGAGAGTCCTGAGGAATGGAACTTCCTGAAACAAACTATCCAAAAAGACAATACCACTGAATACTTCATAGGTTTATGGAAAGATACATCAACTGGAGTGTGGAGATGGTTAAGTGATAACAGCACAGTCAATGCGTCCAATCAAGGAGAATGGCCCTGGGCAGGAGGAGAACCTAACAGTGTTCAAGAGAACTGCGCGCAAATGTACAGAAATTATCGCAGATGCCATGGGTGCTATAATGATGTCAGCTGTACTTCACCCATAGCCGGAGCAGGATTCATATGTGAATTGACAGGTGGGGGAGATAATAGAGTCTTAATTCACAGTAAACGAAACCGAGAATAAGAATAGATCAATAGTATTACGGCCCAGTCCATCTCTCGAAGGATACATATACACATATCTATATCTATATATCTATATCTATCTATCTATATTTATATCATAAGCTCAGTTATGCATGCATTCTGATTGGTTCTCACTTATGATCTATTGGAGGACAGATGTATAGATGACGTCACCATTAAAACTTTTTTTTCGTATATTTTAATTCTTTATTATTCAGTGACACACTCGGCTGCACCTCGTGTGCCACATTTTTGTTCTTACCACATTTTGACGTCATCTATGATCTATTACTGAACAGACGCACGGCAACTTGGAATCTATTTGTTAGATATATATATATATATATATATATATATATATATATATATATAGATAGATAGATAGATAGATAGATAGATAGATACCGCACTGCTACCATTGCTTTGCGCAACCTTTAAAATGGGATAGACAATCACAAAATTACAATGACAATTGAATGTTCATATTCTCGTATAGAGAAAAGATCAGCGAAGGCGATGGCGTCCACCATATGTGGTCACTATTAGCGTTGTAACTGTTGAAGACTGTTGAGCTATTTAGCAAATATGTTTAGACGATGATGGGAATCAGTACTCAATGCAAATATAAAGAAAGTAAAGTAGCATAATTTCCCCCGACTTCCTCCTTGAAAATCCCTTATCTTTAACTTTAAATTCATTCATGTAGGTAAATAGAAAGGAAGAGACAAACCTTAGTCAATATTATTAGCCTCAAATTAAATAGGGACTGGAAAGGAATGTTACTAATACCATTTAAACATTTTATTTATAAGATCAATATAACTTTATCACATCCATGTAAATTTTTCAGGCTTGCCTGGCCAGCCATCCTCACTCTCCACAGATTATGTTTCATCAAACAAAATTGTCATATCATGGAGCGCTCCTACTGATGTAGGGGATGGAATAAAAGGGTACTTTGTTGAGTGGCAGGCTGATGGAATATCCGAAATTCAACAAAAAGTAGTTGCAGAGAGGAGAGCTGCGACACTGGATAAGCTAACACCCTACACGAGGTATGAAATTCACGTGAGAGCAGAAAATGATAAGGGAGATGGCCCTTGGTCAGTTTTACTAAAAATGAGAACTAACGAGTCAGGTGAGTAATGGAATGACCCATTAACATGTAAAATAATAACATGTAAAATGTTGATAACAAAGGTTACTCGACCCTTTGACCCCAAAGAGTGACAAGCTTTTTATTTCTCCTTACAATGTTACCCCTGAATCAAACATGAAGGTCACGAGAATAAAGGAAATGATCACCATATAAAGAATCCCTTGATTGTTAAAAAAAAATCATTGTAAACACCTTAGTTTATGTGTAGAGAGCCTTATGGAGAATATGCATACTGATGTTAGGGCGTTCAGGTGTGTTCACTTCCACTTTCTCATCAGTGATTCTCATTAATTCTGATGATGTCAGTTGTGTGAATTTGATACTAATGGATCAACTAATAAACCCCCAACTGATACTCTCCTTTATCCTCTCCACTTGTCCACTGTGTTGTGTTTATATCGCCAGGAGAAATTCTTTCCTGGTTACCTAGGGGAGTTAAAGTGTTAATAGATGTTGTTAGTTTTTCCTTGTAGTAGCCTAAAAATTGAGCACCTAACATTTTCTTTGTACGAAGTTTGGTAACAGAGGAAGAGTGTTCTTGTTCAGAAATTATTCTATTTAAGTCATTCGATTTGATTTTGCACTGCACATGCGACTGTGCATTTATATATGTTGCCACATTGAAAAGCTCTAAGTTCATAATTGTATTGTGTACTTGTATGGTGTGACATGAAGTGTTTCATACATGTAAGCAAGTAGCTAAGAAAATGGCATGTTCCCTATACATGTACTGAAAATCCTATATATATATATATATGTATATATATTAATGTGTGGGTAGAGTCTGCCTTGGCATAAAGTGCTCAATGCTGTGGTAGGGTAGCGGAGGTGAGTATATATAAGTGAAAGAATCAAAGAGGAAGCATCGATTCACTGTTACTCTGAGTTTCGCGCCTAAGCGCTCGTCAGACAGAACTTTATTCAATGAAGAACATACCTCCTTATATACAAATTAGATGGGTAGCTAATTAATTCACTAGTGTGATGATATGATCTACGTGTGAAATAAAGATTCTATAGAGCTATTTTTGGCGGCTTGTGAAATTTGCTAACTAAAACTTATTCTCGTGGCGGCATTTAGAAATGACTTCTGTTCTTTTGTTTAATAAAGACGGTTTCTTAGCTCTAACTAAATAAAGTTTTTCTGTGAGGCACAAGTGGCACCGCTTACCTTTGTTGCTGTAAGGTCGCTAAAATACTCCAGTTTATTGTAAAATTGGTGTTGTTGTCTTTGAATGTCTAGATATGCTTTGACAGTTCCGTGCTGTTTGAATAGTTTCTCTTCCGAAAAGAAAGTTTGTGTTGCGTGTAACGTTGTTTAAAAGTTCCTTCAGTTAGTCCAATGTAATTCTTTCCGGTTGTATCATTTTCTGTTGTTACGTTGGCGTTGTAGACGACGCTTGAAGTGAGGCAGTTGTTTTTCAGAGGGCAGTCGTTTTTTTCCTGCAGTTACATTTGTTTCCCGTGGAGGGTGTCTTGCTTGTTTCGAGGATTTTTCTGTTGTGCTTCTTAATTATGGTTTGTAGGTTGTCTATACAGCTATAACTGACTTTCATGTTGTTTTTGTTGAAGATTTTGCTGTACCGGTGATTTTTCGGGAACATTTCCCGAAAAATCACCGATACAGCAAATACTGGAGTATTTTAGTGACCGCCCCGGCCTACAGCCACAAAAGCAAGCGGTGCCACTTGTACCTCACTTGTACCTTCATTGAATAAAGTTCTGTCTGACGAGCGCCTAGACGCGAAACTCGGATTAACAGAGAATCGATGCGTCCTCTTTGACTCTTTCACATATATATATACATATATGTGTGTGTGTGTCAAGCATAGTTTTGATCTTTTGTTCTTTTATATTATATTTGACTCAATCCAGCTCCCACAGTTCCTGGGAATTTCAAATTGACTGTTAAGTCATCCACAGTAATTAAAGCGTCGTGGACTGCGCCCTTGAAGCTTAATGGTGTCTTCAAGCGTTACGTGCTAAGGTATGGTTTATCAAAAGATAGCATAAATAAACAGGTGTATCTCACAACCACAGAGTACTTACTGACCCCGCTGGATGAGTTCTCTACTTACTATGTTCAAGTCCATGCTGAAACGGCTGTTTCCGGGCCTGCCTCCAGTATTCTTTCGGCAAAGACAAAAGAAGACGGTTAGTGCCGTTATAGGTTGTTGTTATTGTTGTAACTGTTGTTTATTTTTGCTTTGGTTTTCGTTCGTCGATGTCTGCAGGAGGCAGCCACATTTAGCATCAATTAAATAACTTACAAGTACCACGCGATACTTTCAATGTTTGCGTCACTTCATGTTACAGGTTTTAATTGTTTTTGGTTAAAAATGTTTTCTCCCCGGATGACGTACTGAATGTAAAGAAATACAGCAGATCTTTAGAACCAAAGCATGAGCACAGCTAGAAGATAATGGGTTCATGACCATGACCTATTTGCCTTTGAGAATGGTGACATGTCAAAAATACGTCATGTTTAATAATGGTCATATCGGTCATCGATCTTCTAAACTACAACATTCTAAGTTTAATGAAGATGTTAGCTGACATAGATCTTCTAATTCTTTTACTCTGACTTGCAACTAAAGCTCCCAGTTCCGCTCCAATCATTAACAAACACGAAACAAAGGCCGAGGATGCGCACACCATAAGAGTCAAATGGAATGAAATTAAAAAAGAGGATCAAAACGGCCTCATATTGCGATATGAGGTTTCATACAAAGAAGATGGAACAGAAAAAGTGTTGGGTTTTAAAATAAAAAAAACAAACACAATTATCACGGACTTGAAGCCATTAACGTCATACTGCATCCAAGTTCGAGGGTTTACAAGTGTAGGAAAGTCACCACTGAGCCCTTGCTTTCATGTCCAGACATTGGATAAAGGTATGCCATCATTGAATTTAGTTTGATTCATCATCATCCTTGAATTAAGGAAGTATGATTTGAGAAGTTTTTTCGTCGGGGAAACAAAAGACGACGACAACAATAGAAAAAAAAATAGTTTAATAACCGAGGCTTTGGTCGGTTTAAACTACACTCAATTTCTGAAGAAAAACTTCTGTTTCTGTTTTTCCAAGAGTTGTTTTTCTTGAGGTGCGCGTGGCACACTAAACTCTCTAACCAAAAATAGCCTAAAATCTCCTGGGATTTTCGTTTTTCTTGGCCTTAATCTTTTTTGTTGTTTTATATTAACTTTATTTTGTTTGTGTCTATGTTAGCTTGTTTGTTTGTTTTTTCTTCACTGTGGTTATTTGAGCTACTGAGTAATTAATTCCGTACCATGGCTACTGTGAATAATTCGAGGCAGTTCAAACTGTTCTCTGAAAAGATTTAACCACTCAAACTTATTCAAATCTTGTACTGTTATTTATTTTAAAAGGTCCAAGCCATCCGTTCAATGTTAAAGTTCAGGCCGTTTCTTCTGTTTCAATTCTTGTAACGTGGGATAAACCTGCTCACTCTAATGGAGACATAAAGGAATATGTAATATTTTATGGAACCCGCGAGGATGTACAGAGTAATGAGCGAAAAGTGACTGGAAACACGCGGGAACGTATAATAGACGGCTTGAACAAATATACCACTTACTATGTGAAAGTCAGGGGTAGTGCATCTACACCAGGAAATGCTTCTGAAATATTAAATGCAACAACTTTCGAAGATAGTAAGTAGATACTAATGATTCAAGTTTTCAATTGTTACTTGTACCCCGGTAAACATCCGATAGACCATTTCTTAGATGTATCATTTTGTAGAGCGTCCGACTGCCGTGCGGGGGGGGGGGGGGGGGGAGGGGGGGGGGTCGAGGATTCAAGTCCCAGACATTTAGTTACTGTGGGAAAAGTGCGAAAAATCAATTTGAATTAAAAGAGAGGAGATGCAGCGAATAATGGCATGGTCAAGTGTGATAATACATTATGATAAATTATACTACTGATTCCATAATAATTTCGAAGTTATTGGCAACAATAAATGTTGGAAAATAGTAATTGTTTCGCGATAAGCTCAGCATTCGTATTTGCTAGGTTAGTGATTTACATGCTTTTCTCGTTCTCATCTTTTTACCATCGCATTTATACTATAAGATCCATGGAATGAGGACTCTGACGCTTAAATAACTGACTGCATCATCGGTTGTTTGATTGATTGATTTTCTACTCTAATTATGAATTTGATTTATTTCTTTTTGCATCCTAGGTCCTGGACCGCCAAGGGAGTTTAGGGCTCAGGTGGTAATAGCTAATAATGTTTATCTTACATGGAAGGAGCCTGATAGTTCTAACGGAATTGTAAGGTTCTATGACATAAGGATCCTCGATAATATAACAGGCTTACAGGTCATAAAGGTTGGCAGCCAGAGCGCTGACGTGCAGTCAGACATACAGCAACACAGTAGGTTGATAAAACGTCTCGAGTACTATACAGACTACACGTTCACAATCCAGGCCGTCACAATTAAACCTGGGGAAATGGCTAACGCCACAGCAAGAACAGAAGAAGGAGGTATAGTCCTTACCTTTTCATATCGAATGAACCTGGTCGAAGATTTTCTCTCTTTTCTTCTCAAGTAATGGAACCATTTTGTGTATTAAGATCTCTAATATTAAAATCGTCCAGTTGGCTTTTAACAGTAACTCTGTGGGTAAGGGGCATAGCACACGAGTGTGAACATGATTAGCAGCACGCGAACGATAAAGGCGACTATTCAACACAACGGTGACGATAAAATAGAATAAACAAGTTGAATGAAAAGCGCTCGTTGATACCGTGGGGATTTTTTTTTCTCGTCACCTTAGTCCCACCAATAGTCTAGCTTTATTTTCTGCATATAAAAACACACTCGAAACGTCAGCCTTGAAACTCTTTACGGTGGCCAATTTACTTTATCAGCTCAATTGACAATACTTACTTAGCCTGTTATACTTTCCCACCGAGCACATGCGAAGAGGTGTGACCGCTTTATCCTACCCTTCCATTGCCAATGTCCGTCTGTTACGCGAATTGCACACGCATGGGAAAGCTAACACCCCATGTATTTTTACACCATTACAAGTTAACTCCTCTGGAAACCTTCCGTATCTTCGCAATACAATGGTTTGCTCTCAAAGCAATTATGATTTGTTGTAGCCCCAAGTCAGCCTAGAGATGTCACTGCGAAACTTGACAAAGGTGAACTTTCTGCTACTGTTACATGGAAGGATCCTAAAAACCACAATGGAATTATCATCATATACACGGTGAGCTACGCTGCAAAAATCTATTTATTATCAACTCTAAACTATATAAATAGGCGTACTAATGGTTTCGAAGCGTGCAAGGTTACATTTCAGTCTTAGCTGAGAATTATCTTGTAACCTTGTAAGATTTTTTTCACTAGTCAAGTGAGACCCCCAACAACAGCCACGACTACAACAAAGATAGACCACAAAAAAAACAAAAACAAAAACAAAAACAAAAACAAAATCAGCTGATTTTCGCAAATTGTGCACGCGACATTGTTATATTACGTAATTTGAGAGTTTGACTTTACTTTGTTGGTTATTTCGTCTTTTTTTTGTTTAGTGTTTGTTTCTATCTGAATTTGTTCATTTGTTCTTTTCTTCGAGGCTGATTAAAATGTGTGATAACTAGTCTGCTTGCATGCATGTTGTCGTGCTCATGTAATCCAAAGCTTCAATTTTTGAGAGATAATGCCTTACTTAAGGATGAGTATGCTTTGGATATTTCAGATTCTATCACCGGTTGCCACAGTCGATTTTTTTAATGTTCTTTTCAGTAATGACAGAAGTAGGCTTTCATATAGAAATTGTAAGAAAATTAAATAACCACTGCCTATTTCCAGCCATTGGAACCCTGAGACTTAAGTGTGTGCTGTGAATTCTGAACGAATTTTTTTCCCCCTTCTAAATGCCACTTCATTTGTTTCTCTTTCTGTGAGATGTTGTATCTTCCTCGATTTTCAGGTATACTTAGAGGGTAAAAGAGCACATAACAATTCCTTTCATCATAACCACGAAATAGTATTAAACCAGAGCTCTCGGAGCACAGAGATACGTATAGAAAAGTTGAAGCCTGGTACAAAATATGGTGTTTATGTGAAAGCAAAAACAGCCAAAGGATATGGAACCGCAAGTGATCCTGTAATGCTGGACACACCATCAAAACGTATGTGAAAAGGTTTTGTTTGCTTGTGTGAACCATGTTAGAACTGAAGTTCAGCTTGTAGAACATTGGCCTAGTGCATCAATGTCATGTGCCCCCATGTCCTCTACATAATTGGGATGAATTTTAGTTTGTTAATTTGAATGAGGTCAGAAAGCAGCTCGCTCAATCTTTGAGTAGTGGGTAAAGAATGAGACATGCAGACGTAGGGGCCGATGGACAGAACTTTTTCAGCCCTACAAACGAGTTACCCTTGGGATTCCCTATGCGAGACTGCCAAGCACCCCTCTCTCTTTCCCTTCCTTTCCTTGTGTTATCCTATATCAGTAGGGTCAAGCTAATTATCAGCTCGTATTTTATTTTTTTATTTTTTAATCTCTGTTGACGGTCCACGCATCCCCGACGACCACAGTTCCAGTAGTGACAAAGGACGATGACCTCATGAAAGACACCGTTTATCTGCCAATCGCTATTTTAGCAGGGTTGTTGTTTATAGTGATGATCATCCTCGCCATGGTTTTGATACTGCTACGAAAAAAACAACAAGAAATAGGTACTTGGATTTTGTTTTCTTTTCCCTTTAAATTCAACTTGACTTTTAGCCATCTCCATCATCATGGCAATTTAGGGGCAGGCTTGATCAACATCTCATTTATTAATAATTAAACAATAGTTTTTAAAGAAAGCGACAAAACTGTTAAGTCCCTAATGCATCTTTCGAGAGAAGCTTCTGTCATCTTCAGTTAATTAATGTACATAGGGTTGGAAGTTGAATTTGGACATAAATTGATTGAAGATGACAGAAGTTTCTGTCGAAACATGTATTACAGACTTAAAACTTTTGTCGCTTTCTTGTCTGTAACACATGTTTCTCTAAATTCTTGACTTGCCTGCGAATATCAAGACCCTTTGAAAACAATACTTCTAGAGATGTATATGAATGTAATTGGTAAGTAGGTCAAATCAAAGTAAGAGTAGTGAGTAAAGGTGGAAAAAATATAATAACAACAGTGATAACAAACAAAATAAGAAAAAGAAGAGAAAGAAAAACTGAGTTGTAGCGAAGAAATAAATTACATCCTCCTGCTTTAAAGTGTCCTGGACTTCAATACTATGCTGGCTTGTAAGACCGCCTGGTTCTGGAAAAATAATATTTAAAGGATTATGAAATCACGCAACGACAAATCCGAGTAAAACAAACGTATTAAATGACGTGCTCAAAGTAAATAGTTGGTCACATTACCAGTAGACTGCGCGACTACCTCTTGGCTGGGTAAGTTGTTGATGTGTCACCCGAGGTACCAAGTACATGTATGTGTTCCACTAAAATGCTGCTGGATAAACCGACAAATCCAAAAAAAGTCTGGCGCCATTTTTTTTTTCCTTTGTTTTTTTCAATAACCTAAGTTGAACCCTTTTGAAGAAAACAAAAGTCATTTATGTCTGTGTTTACTTCTAACGGTGGTACTTTGTTTTATCCGCTAGCCACAAGAAACAAAGTTGTCAAAATGTAAGTTACTTCTGTGTAACCTTTATTCGACATTTGTTCAGTCTGGTGCATTTTTAAATCAAGGCCGAGTGAATCCTTAAACAATACATAAACATTAATGATTCTATTCACTTGGTTTGTTTTCGAAGTGTAACAAAGAGTTTTCGGCTGTTTAGGGGGGTAGAACACTTACCCAGAATGCAGAGACAGATGGCTCTATGCTTTAAAAAGTGATAAAAGCCAGCCAGACAGATAATGCAGCTGTAGTTGCATAAAAGCCAGTGGATAAGAGCCTAAATAATTTGTTTTTGTTAGGCTGAAACTAGGTTTTTCATGCCCATCGATGCAGAAATCGTCATTCTTAATCCAGAGTGGATTTGGCGATTTCTCGAAGGCGATCGACTATCATTAGAGCACACGGCACCCAAGCTGTCTACTATAGAACGATGTTATAATTCTTTAAATGGCTCTGCTCTGGAACTCCGTAGGTTCTCTAAGTTGAGTAGAAATCATATTCATGAATCTTCGGCAAATAAATGTGGGGTGCTGGTCGTTGTTAGTTGTTTGAACTTCTCAAAGTTTGTTTGCATTCTTGTTGCCAATCAGTCTTATTGCATTTTCAGAGGTCATTAATAATGAACCTGGACCTTTTCACTCTCTTCTTTTTGTGTGTTTATTTCTTTATACAGGAATCAACGTGACTTTCAAGAGAGCTGGTCATTAAATGTTTTGAAAGTCGGTGCCCGGCTAGAGTTTGCTTCGGGCAGTGGAACCGGGATTGAGAGGCTCCATAGGAAACCGCTTGTCCAACAGGAGGGTGTATATACGGAACTGTTTCCGGAGTCAATGATGGTAATTATCCTTATAATGAAATTAGAGTTAATCAATATGGGCCTCATAAAAAAAGGGACTAAAGGATATGTGATACTTCTTTTTTTCAAACTTTTTAGTTTTTCCTCTTTGTTCTCTTCATGTGCCCCTTTCGCTGCACTTATATTGCTACTCTGACGCAACTTAACTGTGGTCTTTTGGCATAAAACTTTCCATATTTATATAAGTTCGATTGCTTTATCCATTTACCATTATCATTTATCCAGTATTATTCATCCGTTTATGTCCTTATTTTCCTTTATATCTATCTGAAACATCACCTGTTTGATTATGATCTTTTTGGGAATGCCGGGCAAAGGGGTCTCCTTTGGAAAAAAAAGGCAATCAATTTTAAGTGCAATATCTAACACAACCTTCACTAGAAATGTATTTGAATGAATGTCTAATTTTAACTTGACAAAGTTTATGGTTCTTTCAATTTTTTAAATTTTTTAAATTTTTTATTTGCATTAGGGATTTCAGTCGTACTTTCCAGCATTACTAAGCCTGCCAAGTCGATTATAACATGATTTTTTTAACAAATAAAATTGAATATTTTGTAGACTTCTGAAAACGATGGTTCCCGAACGTACGCTTCTCTTGTGAAATCAACAGAAGACAGCGACAATGAATATGTGAATCAATTACCTGCTCCTGAGTATGTTAATGCTTGTTAAGTAAATTGTTCGTAATTGAGATTCGTAAAAAGCTGAGGTAAACAAAATATCGATGGCATGTGTCTCTGCGAAGCCGCTATTACCACCCCGCTATCATGTAAACGCTTAAATAGAGATGAATAAATCATTATCTTGTCTTTCAGTGGTTGTGCTATTTTAACATCTCCATATCAATTATGCAACCTTTCCTTTTTTCGGTTTTGCAGTTTTGGCTATATTTTAGATCGGTTTTTCAATTTTTGTCGGTTTTTCAGTTTTGGTGTTCATTGCTGTTTGCGGATTTTCTGTTTTTCAGCATTTGATTTTCGGTTTTCGCGAAAAATACTGACGGGTTTTCGGATTTGATACCGGATGCAGTTTTCGGTTTTTCCCATTTGGCCTATTTGGGTTCTGGTTTCTCTTCGACCTGAAAGGCAATTACGAGCCTCCTCTGATCTCAAATAGCCGCTAAATGTAAATGTTATTGAGAGGAATGCGTGACAAACCAAGTGAAATATCGCAAGGATCCCTCAGGGGGTTCACGCGTCTTGAAGGACGCCCAATACTTTTGATGATCCGTAGGGGTTCGAGCGTCTCGAATGACGCCCAAGACTTTGACCTTGCAATGACCTCAAGGACCTTAAGAAGCAATTTTGGATTATCGCGTTTGTTTTTGTTTTTTACGAAGAGGGGAAAGGCGGCGAGAATTTCAGAAAACAAAAACAAAAAACAAAAACAAAAACAAGTTTAGATGCAAAGTAAAAAGGGAAGAGAGAAGCTTGCACAAGCTTAAAAACAGTGTTTGGTAAGTCAACCGTACGTATACCAAAGTCATTATTTACATTACAATAGCTTAATCGCAATATCCAATATATATTATATATGGCTCGTTTATGACGATACAGACTCAAAGACGATTTACAGTCCTGATACATGTACACTTAGTATACACGATATCTAAACCTATAATTAATTGCAAATTCGCGGTCTGTGAGGGAGATCATGGCTGACTACCATGTGCGTCTGTCTCATGGCTGGGAATCGACGAAAGAGAAAAAAAAAGAGCGTTTCAAGGCGAGTCAGTTTTATTGAGAAAGGACAAATAGACAAATGGGGTCAAAGAAGACAAGCAGACATTCTAAGAGAGTATGACAACCAAGCGCTTGATCTTTTAAGCTGTATGACATTAGACGTTGAAGATTGTCACGCCATTTTCCATTCCAAGAAAGTGAACATGTCTAGTCTGGAGTATGCTAGGTTATTTGGTGCAACTAGAAAGAGCGTGAAAAGTGCTGCAAGCTGGGCTGCATACTATCACACCAGTCGAAAGTCCAGGTACCTGAGGCCCGAGGCCCGAGGCCAGACACAACGCTGTCTCTTGATAATGTGCCATTAATGATTCCTCTACCCGTAGTAAACCTTCCTTCAAATGACTGCGACATCTTACGAAATTAGGCCTCAGCATATGGTGCAGTAGTAAGACAAAGGACAGACTCACTATGAGTGAAGCAATCCTCGTCATAGCCTCATTACACAAGCACATCGGCTTCTTTTTTCATCTGATGAGTCATAGTTTGACAAAACCTGCCCAGGAGTCCATGTGGAGTCCCGGTTATATATTTCGACGCCTACAGCTGGTGAAAAAACATATCGCCGATTTTGCTTCCTCTTTGGCTTTCCTGAAAAGTCAAAATCAGGCAAGGCAGTCAGTAATTGATAACATTTATCACCGTCGGTAGACTAATAGAGAGTTCCAACTCTGTTCTTAGTGAAACAAATGCGGACTAATTGCGCTAAGCTGACATTACAAATCTTTTGCGTGTGACATATGATTTAAAGTTATCATTATACGTACCTCGACAAGTATGATATGCCACAAGAATCCTTTTCTTCAGCTAGAAGCCGCTTTTCTTTCCTTGATGTTCTTAGCCAGAGCCACTCATTCTTTAATCGGCCGTTATGTAACTTTCTGCAGCTGCTACAGATGGCTGACAAG